TCTCGATTCGTTCCATGAACGAGAGGTCCACAAATTGAACGATCAAACCTTTAAACAGTTAGGATCGTCTCAAATTCCCATCTTGGTCAAACCTTTAAACAGTTAGGACCAAAGCCAAAATCCCCTCTCGATTCGTTCCATGAACGAGAGGTCCACAAATTGAACGATCAAACCTTTAAACAGTTAGGATCGTCTCAAATTCCCATCTTGGTCAAACCTTTAAACAGTTAGGACCAAAGCCAAAATCCCCTCTCGATTCGTTCCATGAACGAGAGGTCCACAAATTGAACGATCAAACCTTTAAACAGTTAGGATCGTCTCAAATTCCCATCTTGGTCAAACCTTTAAACAGTTAGGACCAAAGCCAAAATCCCCTCTCGATTCGTTCCATGAACGAGAGGTCCACAAATTGAACGATCAAACCTTTAAACAGTTAGGATCGTCTCAAATTCCCATCTTGGTCAAACCTTTAAACAGTTAGGACCAAAGCCAAAATCCCCTCTCGATTCGTTCCATGAACGAGAGGTCCACAAATTGAACGATCAAACCTTTAAACAGTTAGGATCGTCTCAAATTCCCATCTTGGTCAAACCTTTAAACAGTTAGGACCAAAGCCAAAATCCCCTCTCGATTCGTTCCATGAACGAGAGGTCCACAAATTGAACGATCAAACCTTTAAACAGTTAGGATCGTCTCAAATTCCCATCTTGGTCAAACCTTTAAACAGTTAGGACCAAAGCCAAAATCCCCTCTCGATTCGTTCCATGAACGAGAGGTCCACAAATTGAACGATCAAACCTTTAAACAGTTAGGATCGTCTCAAATTCCCATCTTGGTCAAACCTTTAAACAGTTAGGACCAAAGCCAAAATCCCCTCTCGATTCGTTCCATGAACGAGAGGTCCACAAATTGAACGATCAAACCTTTAAACAGTTAGGATCGTCTCAAATTCCCATCTTGGTCAAACCTTTAAACAGTTAGGACCAAAGCCAAAATCCCCTCTCGATTCGTTCCATGAACGAGAGGTCCACAAATTGAACGATCAAACCTTTAAACAGTTAGGATCGTCTCAAATTCCCATCTTGGTCAAACCTTTAAACAGTTAGGACCAAAGCCAAAATCCCCTCTCGATTCGTTCCATGAACGAGAGGTCCACAAATTGAACGATCAAACCTTTAAACAGTTAGGATCGTCTCAAATTCCCATCTTGGTCAAACCTTTAAACAGTTAGGACCAAAGCCAAAATCCCCTCTCGATTCGTTCCATGAACGAGAGGTCCACAAATTGAACGATCAAACCTTTAAACAGTTAGGATCGTCTCAAATTCCCATCTTGGTCAAACCTTTAAACAGTTAGGACCAAAGCCAAAATCCCCTCTCGATTCGTTCCATGAACGAGAGGTCCACAAATTGAACGATCAAACCTTTAAACAGTTAGGATCGTCTCAAATTCCCATCTTGGTCAAACCTTTAAACAGTTAGGACCAAAGCCAAAATCCCCTCTCGATTCGTTCCATGAACGAGAGGTCCACAAATTGAACGATCAAACCTTTAAACAGTTAGGATCGTCTCAAATTCCCATCTTGGTCAAACCTTTAAACAGTTAGGACCAAAGCCAAAATCCCCTCTCGATTCGTTCCATGAACGAGAGGTCCACAAATTGAACGATCAAACCTTTAAACAGTTAGGATCGTCTCAAATTCCCATCTTGGTCAAACCTTTAAACAGTTAGGACCAAAGCCAAAATCCCCTCTCGATTCGTTCCATGAACGAGAGGTCCACAAATTGAACGATCAAACCTTTAAACAGTTAGGATCGTCTCAAATTCCCATCTTGGTCAAACCTTTAAACAGTTAGGACCAAAGCCAAAATCCCCTCTCGATTCGTTCCATGAACGAGAGGTCCACAAATTGAACGATCAAACCTTTAAACAGTTAGGATCGTCTCAAATTCCCATCTTGGTCAAACCTTTAAACAGTTAGGACCAAAGCCAAAATCCCCTCTCGATTCGTTCCATGAACGAGAGGTCCACAAATTGAACGATCAAACCTTTAAACAGTTAGGATCGTCTCAAATTCCCATCTTGGTCAAACCTTTAAACAGTTAGGACCAAAGCCAAAATCCCCTCTCGATTCGTTCCATGAACGAGAGGTCCACAAATTGAACGATCAAACCTTTAAACAGTTAGGATCGTCTCAAATTCCCATCTTGGTCAAACCTTTAAACAGTTAGGACCAAAGCCAAAATCCCCTCTCGATTCGTTCCATGAACGAGAGGTCCACAAATTGAACGATCAAACCTTTAAACAGTTAGGATCGTCTCAAATTCCCATTTGGTCAAACCTTTAAACAGTTAGGACCAAAGCCAAAATCCCCTCTCGATTCGTTCCATGAACGAGAGGTCCACAAATTGGATGATCAAACCTTTAAACAGTTAGGATCATCTCAGAACTCCCACTTGGTCAAACCTTACTACAGTTAGGACCAAAACCAAAATCCCCTTTCGATTCCTTCCATGAACGAGAGGTCCAGCTTCGATTTGTGCAATCAAAACTATAAAAGTTAAGATTGCTTCCAATCTCAATTGATCAAACCTTATTCAGATTCTCTGAATAGAAATCCCAATTTAAATTTCCTTTGTACCAGGAGATAGAATATAAAATTCTTCCTCTCCATCATCGGGTTTATCTCTACCAACAAACAAGAGACCAGGAGATAGAATATAAAATTCTTCCTCTCCGATTCTGGGTTCATCTCTACCAACAAAAAAGAGACCATATTACTCCAATAGGTACACGAGTCTAAACTGTTTTCCTACCCTCAACAGGAAGTTTCTGGAGAATATTACTCAGAATATTCTTAAGAATAACCTGATTACCTCCCAACGGGTATATGAGGTTAAACTATTTTCCGAGAACTCCAAAAAAAAATACATGAGTATAAACTGTGTTCCTATGAAGACTGATACAGTGATTAACAATGCGGTATCAATTTGATGACAAAAGCTGAATTCACAAGTACAAATTTCAGCTTCAATTCAAGATCTCGACGACGGTCAAGCGATGAACGCCATGCCGAAAGGACCTTAGCTATTCTACAAAGCACTGAATAGACTGAGAGACAAAGAGATCAAGTGTTGAAGCCATCTACAGGTTCTTCTATACGATCTACCCAACCAAGCATGGAAAGGATCATAAGTAATACCTATCTTATCCAAAGCATTCCCAGACTCCTCTATAAAAGAATGAGTCTGGAATACTTTGGAGGGGGTATCTGTAGGCGTCAAAAAATGCTGAAAGATATCCAAATACAGCTCAAGAGGAAATCATACAAAAAAGTCAAAAGAACACAAGTATAGACTGTCTCCCCGTGCGGGACAGCCTTTGCTGTCTCGCCGAAATGGTCAAAAACCACCTGGAACAACTGCCATACACGGCCACCAACTGTTCAAGAACGTGGGAAACGTCGTGGGCGGGAATCACGTTGATAACTGCCAAAATAACAGAGTTTGAAACGTGGGAAGACAGTTAAAACGAAAACTGCCTGACGGTTACTGTTTCCGAGACAGCGTTTACTGTCTCCCCGGGCGAGACAGCAAACACTGTCTCGCCCGCCGAGACAGCAAACACTGTCTCGCCCCCCGAGACAGCAAATGCTGTCTCGCGAGCCTGTTTTCCGCCAACTGCTCCTAGGGGCTATAAATACCCCCCGAAGGCTATTTTTGAGAGGGGTTGATCAGAGAGAGCATCCAGAGGCTGATTTCAGAGCAGAGAGGGCAGAGTACTCGAGCTTCTGTAACTCCTTGATATTCAGGCTTTGACTTGATTTCAAGAAGAACGACTATCTTACCTTGATAAGATATCGTTTCAAGTTCTCACTTCGATAAACGAAGTCAGAATCATAAACCTCTCACGATTCAATCAGAATCTGTGATTTGGTGGTCCACGAGTCAAAGCGTTCCTGGCACAGGCAAAGATCTCACGCAAGCAGCGATCCAAACAACGATCCTGCGTTTGTTTCTCAAGAGTTGTAATTTTTCATTTTGTTGTGTAAAAGAGGTCTTATAAAAAGACTATCTCTTTTGAATTTATTGTAATCAACCGAAGATATAATGAATTCCACAGCAAAACCAACTTTTGCTGAAAACAATAGGTACCTTGCGTACGTTAATTATAGCTTAATGAAATTAGGTTTAGTGGAGATCTCGTGTGTAATGCGCTGAAAATTGCCGACAAGAAACAAAGGTGGTGGGGCGGTGTATTACACGCAAGCAAGCGTACCGCTGAAAGATGATGGTGGGTTCAGTTTAGGGTATTGGATTGGACACGGATGAGCGCACAATCGCGTCCGATAGCGTTAGGTTTCACGTTGCCTCGGTCCACACGCGCCCACTTTTTTTTTTTTAAAAGGCTTCTGCGGTTTTGGGATGGGGCTTTCCCTCGCATGAATTTACTAGCTATTTCTGTAATAAAAAAACGAGGGTAAATTGCACTAATTTTCACTAAACTTCTAAAAAGTATACTAAACCTCTAACGATGATTGGGTTTGCAGAAAACACCCAAATAGTATTTTGCAGGTAACTGCCATGATGGCGTAAGGGCATCTCCAACCCTTTGCCTCAAAATGGTGCAAATTTTGCACCAAAATGGTGCAAAAGTCACATCTAACAGTAATTCATCTCCAACTCATTGCACCATTTTTTGCACCAAAAAGGAATATTCTCAGTATCTTTCTTTTTATCTACTTTTATATGATTATTTTTTATCCCCTATATTTTTAACTATTTCAACAATTAACCTCACATATCAAATTTTATTTTTTCACATATTTTCCAAACAAAATGATTTATTATTTAAAAAATTAAACTAATAAAACAATAAAATATTATATACCTATTATTAATATTGCCAAAATATTACATTCAAGAACACAACAGAAAATAAAATGTAAGAACATAATTAAACATTAACAACATCGTAAAAATTACAAATTTAGTATGCTCTTAACTATCTGAATTAGTGTATTCCTCCCATAGATGATCTATCAATGCATTACGAAGCGCAATATGGGCATCTTTATCCTTGATTTTTCCGTAACGTGCAATAAATTGAGTAAATCTTGTAGTTTCATCTGCTACCATATCAACTTCTGGTGTTGGTGCTTCCCTCACTTCTTGAATTGGTGCATAAAGATCACGTTCATCCTCGATTATCATATTGTGCATAATAATGCATGCAGTCATTATGTCATGTAATACATGTTTTTTCCAAAAACGTGCTGATCCTGCCACGATTGCAAATCGTGATTGGAGAACTCCGAACGCACGTTCTACATCTTTTCTACATGCTTCCTGTTTCATGGCAAAATATTTTTTCTTCCTACCTTGTGGCTGTTGGATTGTTTGTACAATAGTAGCCCATTTCGGATATATACCATCAGCTAAATAATAACCCATATTATACTCTTTTCCTTGAATAACATAGTGAGCGGGAGGAGCAATACCTTGAGCTAGGTTAGAGAAAAGATTAGATGACTCCAGCACATTGATATCATTATTGGTGCCTGGCATACCAAAATATGCGTGCCATATCCAAAGATCATAATCTGCCACAGCTTCGAGGATAATAGTTGGTGACCCACTACGTCCTGTGTATTGCCCAGACCATGCTGTTGGACAATTTTTCCATTTCCAATGCATACAATCAAGACTTCCTAACATTCCTGGAAAACCACGTTTTTTTCCAATATAGAGTAGCCTAGCAATATCGTTAGCGTTAGGTGTTCGTAGATACCGCTCTGCGAATATTTCCACCATAGCACGACAAAATTTTGTCATACTTTCAATTGCTGTTGACTCACCTATTTTAACGTATTCGTCCGTAGCATCAGCTGGTAGACCGTATGCCAACATGCGAAAAACAGCTGTTACTTTCTGTGTATATGTTGGACAATGTGTAAAGCTGACCTGATTTTAAAAATTGATTCCCACTCGTACAAAGCTTTCACACAATTCAAGGAGAGCTGAGCTGTGTATACGTTGGACAATGTGTAAAGCTGACCTGATTTTAAAAATTGATTCCCACTCGTACAAAGCTTTCACACAATTCAAGGAGAGCTGAGCTGTGTATACGTTGGACAATGTGTAAAGCTGACCTGATTTTAAAAATTGATTCCCACTCGTACAAAGCTTTCACACAATTCAAGGAGAGCTGAGCTGTGTATACGTTAGACAATGTATAAAGCTGACCTGATTTCAAAAATTGATTCCCACTCGTACAAAGCTTTCACACAATTCAAGGAGAGCTGAGCTTTGTATACGTTGGACAATGTGTAAAGCTGACCTGATTTCAAAAATTGATTCCCACTCGTACAAAGCTTTCACACAATTCAAGGAGAGCTGAGCTTTGTATACGTTGGACAATGTGTAAAGCTGACCTGATTTCAAAAATTGATTCCCACCGACAACGTTGGATAATGTGTAAAGCTGATCAGTTTGTACAAAATGATTCAATTTCAAATGTTGACCACCGACAAATTCAAACCAACCGCAAATTCAAATTCAAATTCAAATTCAAATTCAAACAAAAAAAACAAATTTGGATTGGCTATAAATAACATTCATGAGTTCTACTTCAAACCACCCAATTCGAAGTATTTCTGATCTCCAAACCAACCACTTTTTACAAAAAATGTCTGTTCGATCAACTGGGTACACGGTTACTGAAGATGTGCTCCTTTGTCAAGTATTCTTGGATATTTCTCAAGACCCTATTATCGGTAGAAACCAGTCTCGAGATGCATTTTGGTCTCGTGTGGAGGACAAATACAATGAACTTCGAGATCAGCATTTTGAGATGCGTACGAGCCGATCAATTCGTTCTCGAATGGAAATTATAAGTAATGAAGTAAGGAAATTGAATGCGTGCTTGAGACAAGTAGAGAATCTGAATCCAAGTGGTGCTTCAGATGAAGATATTGTAAGTATTCTATTAATTATCGTTTGAATTTTATTATTATTGTTGAAATACATAACTTGATGTTCACTATAATTTACAGTTAGTTCGAGCAAAGATGTTATTTATGCAAGAACCGAAGTACAAAAAAGGTTTCAAATTTGATCATGTCTGGAATATGGTTAAAAATTTCGAAAAATTCAAAGATGATGTCCCCACAGCAAGACAAGTTGGTCGAAGACAATCCCAAAGTGTGAACTTCGACTCGTCACAATCAGATAATCCCACTCCGGAATCTCCTATATCAACATCTCCTGGATTGTCATCATTTACTCCATCTGAACGACCTATTGGGGTAAAAAAAGCTAAATTGAAAAGGAAAAATAATGATCATGAGTCAAGTGTAGTGGACTCCATCGAGACCTCCAACAATCGACTTATAGACAGGTTAGACAAGGCGAGCTTGGACAGGCAAGAAGCATTTGATATCGAACGAGAAAAGATAGCCATGAAAAAAGATAGAGATGAATGGAAAATTATAATGAAAGATTTGAATTCCATTGCTGATCCAAACGTGCGTGAGTACGTTCGAGCTCAACAGATTAAAATAATACAAAAAAGAAATCAACAAGAACAAGGGTCTGCTTCTAATTTTGGCAATTATTTTAATGATATTGGACACTCTGGCCCCGATCTACCAGATTATTGAGAGTTGCTTGTCCATCTCAGGAAATGTTCCATGTTTAGTTTGTATTTTATGTTTTATTTTAATGAAGTTTTATATTATGTGTGTCAGTTTTTATATGTTATGTATTTCAGATATGTAATTTATATTTGAATTATGTATTATGATTGCTCTTTAATGAAGTTTTATATTATGTATGTCTAGATTTTAATATTATAATTAATAATAATGTCTGTTAAATTTTAGCATTTTTTATTTTTTAAAAAATAATTTATTTTGTCCACATTATACAATTGGGGTAAAATTATAAATTTTAAATATTATTGGGGTTGTTTTATATATTTAATGAAACAATTAGGGACAAATTGTAAATATATAAAAGTATGAGGTTTAAAAAAAATTAAAAAATAAAAAAATAAAAAAAAACAGTAATGGGGGATGAACAGTGCGACGCCAAATATAGCGTCGCGCTGTTCATCCCCGTCAAAATGCGGCAACAAATGCCGCTCGATTGGAGCTCCCACGCAGCGGCATTTTTACTTTTCGCCTCAAAATGCCGCTGCGTTGGAGATGGTCTAAGTCCATATTTTTCATCGTCCCAATAAATAATGTTTCGAAGAGACTCTCCTAGTTATCTTGTCTATATCTAAGGAGAGAACATAATAAGAATATATGAATAGATACACCGAAATTATTTTAATTACAAGTGATACAAGGAAAGAAGATACAAAGTTAAATAAGCAGTGCATTGTATTTATAAAAACCAACTATAAATATTAACACCGACCTCCCTAGCAAAGTTGGTTATGCTGGAATATTCCATCCAAATGTTAGGCGTTCGAGGTTGGTACATAAGGCTCAGAGTACAATAAATCCCATAAGGTATTCTAAAATACCTTCTTTTTTTAAATTCAGATTTTATAATTTTTACCAATATATGACACTCGTATTCAGTAGAAAGATTTTATTGTATAGAAATAGAAAACTAAGTAAACACCACATGAATTAATAACTTTCTACAACAAATAAAGCCCCCAACATCTATAAAAGGAACACTAGCCCAGATCTTCAATCAAGTCATGCAAAACATCTTACATAAGTTAAAATTAGTCAGAGAAAGTTCCTAAACAAGTTAAAGGGGAGAAAATTCCTATAAAGGAATAGTTTGTGGGAAAATGAGTAATATAAGGGAGAGTTTCCTCTGAACAACAACCAATTTTACCAGAAAGCTCTCAGCTTCCTTGTGTTATGCCTACTGCATTCTTTATATGGAGACACTGCGCAATCTAGGAAATTCTTTGGAATGCGTTCTTCCAGAAACTTGTTTATTGTAGAGTGTAACAAGTGCAAGTATCATAAGAGCTTGTGTAAGAATTATATATATACATTGAAACTAACAATTAATACAGTGAATTGCTTGTTCTGTTTAATTACAAACTACACGACTTAATTCTCCTTGGGAAACAAATGTGTCTTTCTTCTTACAAGTATAATGGCTGTCCTACATCGCAATAGCGTCAACCATGAATCATAATTTGCTAATTTATAGGCCACACGACAAACTCTTAAGTAATATGCAGGGTATTTTCTTATTCATCTACCTCTATCCTGAAGGGCGAAAGCGAAGGAACATCATCGATTTGTCCAGCTTTATTAGCAGCAGAATCCATTGCTGATGAAAACCCTCGTGGAACTGAGGATGACTCTTCTTCACTGAGATTGATCGGTAATCCATCCACTAAGTAGGGCACAACATACTTTTTCATGTCATCTCTTGCAATTCCCAGGTGCCTTCCGGGCACAGTCAGATACTTCACTCGTCCAGCATCATCCAAAGTCTTCAGGCCTATCCAATCCTCAATGTATAGAGCAGTCTGCAACAGTTGAATATAGTTTAATACATTACAAGCCATGTTCAAAAGATCCATCTAATTATCGGTCTCCCCAACCCAATAATATTTTACGCAAGCACTTTAATACAAGAAGAAAAGAAATGGTGTTTTTATTTTATGTGAACATAGAATTTTTTTGACATTAAACAATACTCTAGCATAGACCAGTTTTTGTTTAGGGTAAGTATCAAAACCAACAACACCCACCCCTCCCCCCACCCCCCAAAAAAGAAAAAAAAGTTTAGGAGTTATTAGAAAAACTAATTTAACTCAAAGATTTTATCAGAACCCCCACCACACCCTCTGTCAGGGCGTTTCCTTCGAAAAACGTGAACCCATAATTTTTACTGGTAAAAATATCCCCATGCGGAATTATATAGTCTTTACTCACCCAAGTAAAAATTGCAATTAACGCTGTTAGGGGTTTTCTCATAAATCTTAAACTTAAAAGAGGGGTTTTTTGATAACCCTAAAGTTAAGGGGGATTTTCTGATATTTTGAAAGTTATCAGGGGTTATCTGATAATCATCCAAACTTAAGGAGTGTTTTATGATATTTAGCCTTCTTTTTTATCACAAAAGGAAGTATCCATCGGCAGTTATTATTATTATTATTTTATCTAGGTACTAATTTCATATCAAATTTATTGTTTTTGTTTATTGTTCTTGGTTGAAGGACTTAGCCAAAATATATCAGGGGGCTTAACAATTTTTTCTATAAATAACTTAAAGTCGAAGATATGTAGAACCTGTCAAAGATAAACATCAAAGGATTTCATAGATGGACAAAAATTGAAGTTGATAGTAGTTTATGGTCACATGCTAAAGTTAATCAAATATGTCGGTATATGAGTCAAGAACTGGCAACTTTAAGCCTTTACAGTGGCATCTTCTCGGAGATACAAATAAAACACTTGCACTGATTCCTAATCATGTGTATAATGATTTGAATCTCTCCATTGAGAAATGACTTCTATCAGGGTGCATCAACAAGATATGTTTAATTAAATGCCTCATTGTAAGTTTATACACTTGTTATTATGATGTCCCCCTCTCAACTTTTTGCAATTAGGAATTCAGGTAATATGTCATATTGCAGAATGAGGATTATTAAGGACAGTTTTAGCTCGGAGAGTTAGGGACTAGAAGTCATGAGTACTGTTTAGAAGGTGGAGTTAATGGTCTACAAGACTTAAATATGTGAACTAAATGAAAGAGTAGATCCATAGAGACCCTAAAATTTTGTGATCCAGGCTTTGTTGTTCTCATTGCCACATTGTTATTGTTGTCAAATTTAGCATGTCACATTGAAATGGAGTTAATTACAGCTATGGGCTGGTGAAAAACTTCTTGTTACGTGTCAAAAACTCTAAAAGGCAATATTAAGGAAAAGAGGGGTGTTTTGAATGCCTTCCAAAATTATAGAGAGAGAATCTCACCAAAAAAGACAAATTTATTGATAATGAAAAATCTTCGGTTAAACATGTTCTGACCTTTGTTAGAAATGACAATGGCAAATAACACAAATAGTAGCACGTCCAAATTTAAAGAAACAGACTATTTGAAGCTTAGGTTCATAAACGAAAACATGATAAAAATGTGAGTGCAAACACGTCTGGTCTTAATAAAAATACATCGGATTGTTTAGACAAGGTCACAATTGTATACACTTTGAGACTCCAAAAAATAATGGATCACTGGGATATAAGGGTTTCTAAATTCAATTATTAAAGGAAAATTAGAAGGGTATTCACTCTATTATTACTAGGACATCAAAATAAATAATCTTTCAAAGAGATTCTTCTATATCTTATGTCCATTGAGGAGGAAAAATAACTACTACCGGATCATCCTACTATGTAAATAGACCAGAATCAATTGTAACTACAACTGATAAGGAAAGAAGATATAAGGAAAGAGAAGATATAAAGCTAAAGAATTAGTGCATTGTTCTCTCAAAAAAGAATTAGTGCATGGTAGAAAATCAACCAACACCAACCTGCCTAGCAAAGTTGGTTAGAATGACTGTTGGAATATTCTAGCCTGATGTACGGTGTTTGTGGTTGGCACTACCACAACAAAGAGTACAATAAAGGATAAATTTTCAAATTCAACCCTTTTTGAAAATTTATTTACAATTTTTGACCTACTTTGCATTTATTTGCCAATTTCAACCTAGTTTTAGCCACCTAGCTGAAACTGGGTTGAAATTGCAAATAAGTGCTATGAACTATATGGGATTGAGAATCCCATGTAGCTTAGCAGAAAATTAAACTACACGGGAATCTCAATCTCATGTAGTTTAGTATTGCACTAAACTCCACACGATTCAGAATCATATGGAGTTTGGAAATGAGCAAAACTCCATGGGATTCCAAATCTCATGGAGCTGCAAGGTTGCATTGCAGAGAGCGAACTCTCTGTGGTTTCAACCATGCAACTTCACAGGATTCCTAATCCTGTGAAGTGTCACTTACCCAATAACCTCACTAGAGCAAAAGCATAGCGCGCACGCTCTCTCTCTCTCTCTCTCCCTCCCTCCCTCCCTTAGGGCTTGTGCTCTTGACCATATCCGACCTCCCGCTACACTCTGACCATCTCTGGTCACCTTTCCCCACCGCCACCAGGCTTCTTTAGGCCGAAGTTTGCCGGAGTTCGTTGGAGTTCATTGGATCTCAATTTTAAGGTTTGACCCATTTTTTGGTAAATTATTTAAACTTTTTTCAGATTTTTTCATAATTTTTTTACATATTCTCATCATTTCATCCTAATAGCTTATTTTAGTTTAGATTTTGGTTAATGTTTGATTTTTTAAACTTTGTGGAGAAAAATTATGGAAATTTGTATGGAATTTGAAGGAAATTGAGGGAAAATTATGTAAAATATAGTTAATTGAATTGATGTTGTGAATTTGTAAACTTACATTAAGAGGAATTGTGAAATTTGTATTAAAAACTAAGAGAAAGTTGTAAAGTTTAGGGAATTGAATTGTTAAAATTTTAAAATATTATTTTTAGTGTTCTTTAATGTAATAATAATTGATATTGAATTTTTTACTCCTCAAAGGTAAACGATGAACGATCGATTCTTAATCTTTGTTCGTCTAATGGGAAGATTAACCATCTTGAGAATAACATGCCTGCATATGAAGGAGGTGTGACGAAACTATTGTTTATATCCAAATCATGTACTTTCAATGGATAGATTAATAGTTTAGACAAACTTACATTAATCAATCCACATGAGTATCACCTCAACGTGATTTGCAATTATCTAATAATGGGGAACAGAACAAGCAACATCAAAATCTCAAATGACTATTATATAAGTCTCATCTTCATATTGAATGACAAGAAGCATTTGGTGGAATTATTTATTGAAAAGTATCATAGGAATTTTGGCAAAGCGGTGAATTAGGAGTATACTCTCGCATGTTGGAGGACTCTGAAGTTGACTCAACCGTTTTTTGTCTCTACAATGGTATATAAATTGGACACATTCATAATACTTGAGCGGGCTTTTTGATAGATTGGCCTTCCATCGGAGTGACAATAAAAGAGGAGGATTAAGTGTCACTCCGAGGATGATAACGATGATGATGATGATGACGGCTTACAAATTAATAGCATGACATATTTGATAGATCGTAATGAAGGGGACCACCAATTGATTTACAATATTATTCTAACAATGAATATGTTGTATTAGAGGATCGCATGCCCGATGCATTTCCATGAAGATGGATAAATTGATGACTCGACAATGGAAAAACATTCATATTGGCACAAATTTAAATGATGATACACAAGACAATGACTTCACATCTAGAAAGGGTGGCCTATTTGAAAGCAATGAGAAGTTGGTTCATGTCATTTATTTATAGTCCATAAAAAATGTCAAGTTTAAGCAGATGAAAAGCAACGAAACAAGCTATAATGTAGTTTCTATAGCAAAGCGGATACCAAGAAGATGTCTATGCTCACCACAATGGAAATGCAAAGTGTCTTTGAAAGCTTAATTCAAGCTTGGGGATAAGAGTAAACGAAGAATTTAAAATAACAAACGGAGTTCACACATGTAACAATTCTCAATTAGAAATGAATCATAAACATGCCTCCGTCTCTTTCATATATCGAATGATTATACCTAAACTAAGAGAGGATCTCAATCTAAACCCAAAAAATATTCGTGTTTTAGTGCGTGAAGCGACTAACTTGGACGTATCCTACAACAAGTGTTGGAATACTCGAAGAAAGGCGATGACAAAAATATTCAGAGATTAAGAAAAGTCTTATGAGATATAATCACATTATCTTGAAGCATTCAAAAAAAAATCATGAGACAGTGTACCAAGTTTTATCGAAACTCGTTGATGGCGGAGATAGACAATTCACCATGGTATTTTGTGCATTTGATCCTTGCATCGAGGGATTCAAACATTATCGTCTTATTCTTAGCATTGACGACACTCATTTATATGGTAAATATAAAGATTGTTGTGCTATAGAAATAAGCAAGTGATAATTAAATCCTAACTGGCTGACACATGTCTCAAGCAGGCTACACACCGTGTCGACTTAGACGCACTAACTTCCTATCTTCCTCAAAGGCCGAAATGAAAGACGTCCCTTCTTGTCTACCACGAGGGTCAAAACGAAAGTCGTCTTTTCTCGGCCCTCTCCCAAAGTCGAGACGAAAGACGGTTATTCTCGAACCCCTCGCCGAAAACCAATCACCGTCACATTAAATACATGGTCGGAGTCATCATTACATCCCCGCCGAAAGTCTTAATAACTCATTGGACCTTGTCAGCTCCTTATTCCCCCTTTCACCATCACATTAATCACAAGGGTGACTCAAACCCCTAATGTCGATACCTGTAAAGGTATCAGCTGAGTAAGCCGACCGCATGGACTCGACCAAGATTACATAAATACCCTCATCAGCTCAGTATAAATAGGCATATCGCACCAAAGGTACACAATTCCTGCACACTTAGAAATATATCAGTTCCTTTCTCCCCTTTAGATCATAACTAACTTAATCGTCAAAGGAATTACCGAAGAAGCCAACTTCGGTCCTCTAACATGTTGCATACGTAGAGGACTCTCTTCGAAATCAGTCCTAAATCCCGCTGTTAAGCATCTGACATCAACAAAGGTGTATTGCTCATTGCAATTAGTGTAGATACTGATGGTGGTTTATTTCCTTTTGACTGTCGTAGTTATTAATGTTGAAAACGCAAAAAATTGATCATGGATTTTTCCATGTATTAGTTTGTATATTCCTAGCGTGGGAGCGAGAACGATTACACTCACATCAAATAGGATAAAAGGAATTCCAAGAGCACTGGAAAGGGGGTTTTATCACCGCATCATCATGGCTATTGTTTAAGACATATTAGGGATAACTTCAAGAGGAAGCATGGACAAGTACATCTCCAAAATCTCCTTTGGCAAGTTGGATGTGCAATAGAGAAATTAGTGTATGAGCAACTATGGGAGGAAATTAAGTCAATTTCCCAAATTGCGCATGATTGGATTGAGACTAGTTTGGATCCGAACAATATCAAAAAGTCGGCTTTATGTAAAGGCGATAAACAACTTTGTATGATGACCACAAATGGTTCTGAAAGTTTCAATGGTGTGTGCTTAGGGGAGCTCGTCATATGCCAATATAGTCATTTAGTTGTAATGATATTTTACAGACTTAATAAATTCTTTCTCACACAACATACACTTGGAGCAAATTTCTACATGGAGTTAGCCCCAAAAGTTGAAGGCACATTAACGGATCAGATTGTTTATGCTCGATCATGTCGAGTTTCTAGATATAGTTGTAACGAATGGGAGGTCATCAAGGGATTCTCACATAGAGTCTTTCTAACAAAGTCAATGTCCTTGTTGATCATACTTGTATATGCACTTGCAATATACCGCAATTACAATGGCTTCCTTGTGCCCATGTTATAGCATTTTGTTCGGATTTAGAGGGGGGTGCGAGGATATCACACAATGAATTTGCCGCAGATTGGTATTCAACTTATATCTACCAACAAAAATACAAGGTGTATTTTTGTCCACCACATGATAATTGACATTAGACACAGTGGGCCAATGATATTACCTTCTCAGTATAAGAGAACAGCGGGGCGACCTCGTTCTGTACAACTTAGAAATACTTTGGACGAAATATGAGGAGTTAAGTGAAAAAATAGTTGTAGTCGGTGCAATCAACCAGGCCACAACAAAATTGGGAGTGTTCTTCGGTGAGATATATTAGACTTGACTGGGCCCTTATCTGTTCTCTGATTGATAGGTGGAGGCTAGAGACCAAAACCTTTCATATGCATATAGAGGAGTGTACCATTACACTTCAGGATGTATCTGTCATATTTAGGCTCCAGATTGATGGCCCAGTTATGAGCACTAACGATCATACTTAGGAGAATGTATGTGAGAGGCGTCTTGGCCAGGTTCCTCATTTGAAGAGTAGTGCAATAAAGCTATCGTGGCTTCGAGAGATGTTTATGAGTGATATACCTATTGGCGCCACTGATGAGACGATTCAATATATATGTACACTTTTTCTGAATGTATGTTCGTTTGACTCATAAATAGGTGGTGGTTGAATTAATATATCAAAGAGCCTAACTGCCGTACAGTTGTCTATAAGACAATTAATGGGTTGTAACATCCATCTTGAATACTGTCAACGTAAATAATAGTTTACATATTTGTAAGTATTGGACATTAATACACAACATCAATGTGCAGGCTTGTTGGACACAACAATACTGGCGAAGCGTCCTATATACCACAGTATTAACATTTCTCTATGGAGCTCATTTAAGAGTATGGTAGAAGCCTACTATAAAAAGAGATGATACTACTAATCAGATGAGCATTAGCGTAATGTAAATCAAGTACCACTTGCAATATATCGAGCAACAAAAAACATTATCATCTCAAAGATACAAACAATTGCAATTACTACATTACATGAAAGATCGTTATGGAAAATAATAAACGAAGCAACAAAATAAACCTGCTGCGGAGGCAGAACTGGACTAAAGGCACCATCTGGGTAATACCCAAACCATGAAGTCTCTCGAGGAATCAAGACTGTGTCACGATCAAACTAATAAAGAATGCAGAGTATCAGCCCCTTAAACATAATGGAGAAATTAGGAATCAAGTATGTGAGAGAACAAAAAAAAATTTAGAACCAATATTCCAGATAATCCAACTAGTATGCTCATTTTTAGAAAGAATGCCACATTGTATAAGAGAGGACTTTCAGGAACAAACCATGATTAGTACCAAATTCTGTAAGCTTTCAAGCCTTTCCTTATAAGTCGAGTTTCTCTCATTAGGATACTCATTGTTAAGCCTCGGGAGAAACCTGCACCCTTCCATATAATCCGGGATATCCTAGACAAAAAAGGAAGTGCTTATTCAGTAACAGAGAACCGATAAATACCAGTTGCTAATGCAAGACTAAGCCCAAAATGTCAAGACAGATGGGATCATCCGCACTGTAATATAGCTACACAGCATACCCTACCAGACATTAAGTGAAGGACCACATGGCTATTCAAATTGTATACACAATACTTAATTACTTTTAACAGTTAGTTTATTACAGTTTTTTTTAGTCTCTGCAATAGAGAAGTCAACAGAGGCATAGCTTCTCGAGAAATCCTGCATGATACAAAATGATATTCAAGCAATTTATTACGGAACCGAACCCTATATGGAACCACATATATTACAATTAACCAATCCAATCTTTAAAAAACCAAACAGTGTAACGGTTTTGTATGCGTAGACTCTACTAAGCATAAACTGGATGTCCACTTCTTTTTGCACACGTAGTTTCATTGTAAACATGAAAGATAGCAGAAATACAGATATAAGACACTCTTTAGTTGCTATCTGATATAGACACCAGAAATTAGCTCAATCCAATTATTAATGCAAGAACCATTTTCACTTCCAAGTTGCTTGTTACCATTCAATTAACCCACTCCTGAACTACTAGTAACCAATTTAAGACTTAAAGAGCATATCTCCTCAGTTTAATGTATTAGGTATAATTAAAGCATATTGTCCTCGTCTTATCTGGTAGAAGTTTCTTCTCTCACATTTTTAAGTATTCTGGAATAAACATCTAGTTTCTCAATTTAAAAAAAAATCTCTCCAGAGAATTGGAGGAGAACAGCCAAAGATTATTAGTTTCATAACAGCTTTGATGATGATAGGAGTATAGGACTGTGATTGCACCTAACCTCTTCGGCTGCTAGCTCACTCTAATAAGTCCGAAGTTTTGAGATGACTAATAAAATATGCAAAGTTCATTTCAACAAACCAACACCCCAACCCTTCCATCAATACACAAAAATAAAGAAAGAGGGACGGACATGATAAACGGAAGGAGGAGAAGGACCCAGGGCCAACTCGTATTACTCACTCTCTCCATTTCAATAATATTTATATGGGGTGGACGTAATAAACATTTGTAAATTAAATTTACAAGGACTAAATGCAAAATATAAATGAATAGTTAATTATCAAATGAATCAGATATGCAGCTAGGTAATTTGATTCAGTTATGAAACGAATATTAGAAGTTATCAGTTTACTATTCAATGAAGTATCGAAACAAATATAACTGAATTGTCAGACAAACAATAGATGAACTAGTTGGTAATTATTTAATTAATTTACACCCCTAATATTGTAATCAGTCCCAAACTGTTGGATGAAGACTTTGTACTGTTGTTGTTTATTTGTTAACTGACTGATGCTAATGATCAAACTTTTAGCTTCACGTTGACGCAGAAGAATAACTGTTAGTAACATTCAGCTGCAAGGTAACAGGTGAAAACCATTTTTGACCTGAAATAACTACAGCTACAGGCAAGTTACATTTGCAAGAGAATGTAAAACAGAATTTACAGAGGTCATAACTTGTAAGTATACAAGGTGCCAAACAAAGACTGCAATACTCACCGTAGGAATCTTGAGATAACCACTTGGAGCAAGGCGAGCCTGCAGTCACTGATCTTAGTCAGATTTAATTGGAACACACAAAATTATTCAATTCAAGATAGCATTTATGTTAGATCCTCTTTTATAAAGAAACCACAAACCTGCACATAATCAGAGTAAATTTCTGCTTTAATGAGCGCATCTGCAATTATGCATAAGATCCCTGTCTACAGTGAGATAATAAGAGAATTTTAGCATCATTACAGTGACAGAAAAAGTTCTGTTCATACCAAAACAGACTTCAGATTCCAAATAAAATGAAACTCAGACAGACTTTGCCATCATGAACTACATGCAGTTATAGTCTCCAATAGAACTCTCAGCTTTTGAATAAAGATGGAAGTCTAATGACAAAAAGCTAGTGAATAAAGAAAACTAAAAGGTTGAAATATCATGGATCATATAATAAGTGGAATGAAGCCCCTATTGGTAACATATTGTAGTAACCAAAGTACTTCTTTTATCTAGCATTCTCATGGCCCTTTGTTCAGCACTTCTTATCATCATAAGGATGCAACAGATAGATCGTACAAGAGATTGGAAAAGTAGCATAATGCTCCATGAGTGTCGCTATGTGAACAGAACTAGAATCAGGACTTACTTGGTAGTTCCGGTTGTATTTCTACAGCTCTTATACTAGATTGCTGGGGGGAAAACAAATCAATAAAGTATCACCACAATGATGATACATCATGCCACTATACTGGTTGTGCATCTATTAAATCACTGATACAAAATGTAAAGTTCTATTAAATCACTGATGAAACAGCGTCTACAGATTACATAATAAACCGTGGACTTGAGACAACACTTACTCCACAAAGTGGCACAGATGCAGTCCCGGCGTGAGGGCCTCCAAGTGAAACGAAATTTTTAACCTGTAGGATATTCATTGTTTTAAAGAGTGATGCGACGAAAAAGTTCAAAGAAATTATGTCTAAGAAACAGAAGTGAGCTTAATATTGATGAAAGAACAAAGGAATAGATAGAAAAATTCATCTAACAATTAGAAACAAGATACCAAATCAGATTAATGCCGTGTCAATTATTATATGATAAAAAGTACAAGAATAAAAAATTTAGTTATTGTACTTTGAAGATATACCTAAAGAAGGTAAAGATGTGCAATTAACCTATGAAGCACGGACACGCATAACATGAAGCCATGTCGTATCGTGTCCGTGTCGGACACACGTGTCGAACACACGTATCCTATGTATTTTTTAGGATTTGCCTCGTGTCGCGGACACACGTGTCGAACACACGTATCCTATGTATTTTTTAGGATTTGCCTCGTGTCGGCGTGTCGGATCCGTGTCCGTGCTACATAGCCACGTATCCTATGTATTTTTTAGGATTTGCCTCGTGTCGGCGTGTCGGATCCGTGTCCGTGCTACATAGCAATTAACAGAACACAAGGGTGAGAAATGAGAATATTTGATCGCCTAAGTAAGCATAAGAGGAGTGGCCTACCTCTTAGAACTCCCTAGTTAGACCACAATGTTCCAAGGCAAGGGTTTCTTAAATTTCTTAAAATATTGTACCTATGGAATCATCGTCAATTATGCTCAGTGACAGAATCAGGGCCAGGTTACCTATAGGCTATAAATAAGGAGGCTGAATAAAAGCTCGAATGCAGGCTGGTAGAAATCTTTCTTATTAATTGTGAATTTAAGCTAATGAAACCAACGTGTTTGTAAAGAACTAATTGAACTAAGTCTTTAAAAAAATTCAAATACAAATTTGAACACAAGTACAAAATGTACATATTGTTTGTCCAGATAATTGTTGATGATCCATCACAGGCAGAAATTACCACAGATTTTGTTTGATCTATTATCTTAGATACTAATTGTGACACTTCTTTGTGGCTACCTCACACGAGTCTGATATGTGTTGATCAGCACTCCATTGGACCAGTCTCAACATGCCATGGGCATCATAGCAGACAGCCAACCAAGTGCAATCTACAACTTCTAACTTTACAGGGGAAAGATGCAAGAGGCCACTTTCTCTAATTTAATTCTCTAATTTAATACCTAAGATATAACTAAATTCAAAACATAATCCATTTACTCAATAAGCAATTGTTAAAACATTCGTCTAAAAACCACACCTCTTGCTAACTTAAGAGTTCCAATGTGGTAAAGTTTAACAAGCGACGAGCCTCCCTATACATGAGACTGACCTCTTGTTGCAGGTCCACTGATAACCCCAAGCAAGAAAATTAGTTTGACTAGAATTTATCTAAATAATTGATCGATTTCAGTTAACCAAGTTACACATATATGCACACACAGATAATAGATATGTAGATATATGCATTCATTCTTAAATACATACAAATTCAACCACAGACGTGTGCCAATGTAATCTTTTCATTTCTGTATCATTGTTGTGACCATATTTCTGTCTTTAGTCCATATCTAAAATTCAATAATCAATCACTGATTATCCATAACCTACAAAGGTAAGAATTATCATATGGTTTCTATCATAATCTATGTGAATAGTATCTTTTGTTGTTTGATATAATATCCCAAATTTGTCAATTGACAATAATTATGCTATAAATTTTTGGGGCCGACCATTATTAGTTAATATGCTCATGAAATTATTGGATGAGATTTGAGTATATGCTGATGATAACATTTGTACATAGTACCATCATAGTCGGATTAAGGAAATTAAAGAAAATGATTACATGATCTATGGACGACTCAGGTATGTCCAAGTTTTGAGGACAAAACTTCTGTTAAGAGGGGTAGTATGTAATAATTCTAAGTTTTAAGATGGATATATAAGGAAAAGTATATGTACTTTTATGTAAAATTAGTTAGAGGGTTATAATAGCAAAAAGGGACCTTGATAAATACCCAAACCCTACTTCTTTACCCGTCAGTTTTCTCTTCTTCCTCCCATCTCTGTTTTCCGCCGCACAAAACAAAAAAAAAATTCTCGTTGAAGTCCAGCGAAGTGGGGATACGGATTATTCTGAAGGTATAGTTTTCTTCATTAGATATGCGAGCTTTTGGCCATGGTAGACAATCAAGCTTGTTGTTGCTCATATTTTATATTTGTTGTGAGCTTTTGGCCATGGCAGACAACCAAGCTGCTTGTTGCCCATATTTTAATATTGTTGAACTCTTGGCCATGGCAGACAACAAAGTTTGTTGCTGCTCTTACTTTATTAAATTATTTACTTTCATCTTCACGTAAGATATTTTGATTCTTAGCATATGATTATATTAGTTCTATGGTTAAAAAAATTGTTATGTATACGATGCTTAACTATGGTTATAGGGTACAGTAGGGTATGTAGGTTGATTTTAGTATAGTTAACTATATAGTGTATGATAATATCCTAAGATTATTTTAATAGGTATTCGGGTCTTAATTTATATGGTAGTCTTGATGGTTATTTGTATATATTATGTAGGAATCCCAAGGGACTTCGAGGAGGCGTCGTGATTGGTATTTCGATAGTCTTTCGGATTTGAGTAAGTGGTGGATTTATGCATTGTGCGCTGTGTATTTTTTTATATAATTATATCAAGTATACTTGGATTTGTTCCTGACGGATTATATCCTTCGTATGATTACTGGTATATCAATTGTTGATTGGTTGATTTTGTGATGCTCATGGATATTTTGGTATAAGCCTATGCTTATTTTCTTTATCAATTGTTATGTCTATTCATATAGTGGTAGGTTGAGATGCATATGTGTTTGATTTATTTCACTATTGGTTGGCCTTTGGCATATTTGTATAATGTGATTAGCTTTACGAACTTTGTTTATTGTTAAAGCATATGCATCTCAAGTCAATATACCGGTATATGTCGGATATAAGCAAGCTATTAAAACAGGACTCAATGTGCCTCTATGAGGTTCTATTTTAGCTTTTAGCGCTGAGCCCAAATTGGGTCTCACCGTCCCGGAACCACGGGCTTAATAATTGTGGGGTTTACCGAGTCAACCGGAGTATGAAGTGTTGACCGCATTGAGACGTAGCATGCTTATTTCTATTCCATGATTTCTAATTTTCTTAAATATTTGTATCAAATACTAGAGTTCATTAATGATTCTATATCATTCTTATATTTTGTTTATTTCTCGTTGTAATATTTTAGTTTTGCAAAACCAGTGTTTAATGTATGAATTTATCCACTTATTGAGTTGTGAACTCATTGTGTTATTTCTATTCTTTTCAGAGACTCGGGATTAGGTGGAATTGAGGATTGTCAAATTCTTAGAACGAAGCAAAGAATAATTCGAGATTGTTATTGTCTTCTAGGCGAAGGTTAAATAAAGTCTTTAATGTTTAGATGATGAATTGAGAGTTTGTAATAATGAGATTCTTTCTTTAGGTTGAGATTTATTTGGAGTTGAGGAATATTTATTTTTATCAAGTTAATTGGCTTAGTTGACTTTTGGGATTATAGAGAATATTTGTTGTTGGTTTTAGTTCAATGAAGAGATTTGTTTTAGTGTTCTTTTAATGAATGTATATTTTGGAGGACTTTTCACAGGTTTAGTCCGGCTCTAATATTCCTTTGAGGTTCGTAAATTGGGGTCGTGACAATATCCTTCAAGCATGGATCAATAAGAACCCCCAAACCAAAAATATGAGGAATAAGCCTAAAATACTTATTAAATTTGCTCTCCATTTCAAAAACCATAGGTCCAAAAGTAGCATCCAAACGATATTTATCAAAAATACTTGGATTTGTTCCTGACGGATTATATCCTTCGTATGATTACTGGTATATCAATTGTTGATTGGTTGATTTTGTGATGCTCATGGATATTTTGGTATAAGCCTATGCTTATTTTCTTTATCAATTGTTATGTCTATTCATATAGTGGTAGGTTGAGATGCATATGTGTTTGATTTATTTCACTATTGGTTGGCCTTTGGCATATTTGTATAATGTGATTAGCTTTACGAACTTTGTTTATTGTTAAAGCATATGCATCTCAAGTCAATATACCGGTATATGTCGGATATAAGCAAGCTATTAAAACAGGACTCAATGTGCCTCTATGAGGTTTTATTTTAGCGCTAAGAGCCCAAATTGGGTCTCACCGTCCCGGAACCACGGGCTTAATAATTGTGGGGTTTACCGAGTCAACCGGAGTATGAAGTGTTGACCGCATTGAGACGTAGCATGCTTATTTCTATTCCATGATTTCTAATTTTCTTAAATATTTGTATCAAATACTAGAGTTCATTAATGATTCTATATCATTCTTATATTTTGTTTATTTCTCGTTGTAATATTTTAGTTTTGTAAAACCATTGTTGAATGTATGAATTTATCCACTTATTGAGTTGTGAACTCACTGTGTTATTTCTATTCTTTTCAGAGACTCGGGATTAGGTGGAATTGAGGATTTGCCAAATTCTTAGAACGAAGCAAAGAATATAATTCAGGATTGTTATTATCTTCTAGGTGAAGGTTAAATAAAGTCTTGATGTAGTTGATAAATTGAGAGTGGTGGTTGCGAGATTTCTTTTCTTTAGGTTGAGTTTTATTTCAAGTTGAGGAATATTTGTTCATATCAAGTTAATTGGATTAATGTTGACTTTTGGGATTATAGAGAATATTTTTTGTTGGTTTTAGTTCAATGAAGAGATTATTTTGATGGTCTTTTAATGAATGCATATTTTGGAGGATTTTTCACAGGTTTAGTCCGACTCTAATATTCCTTTTAGGTTTGAAAATTTAGGGTCGTGACAGAATGGTATCAGAGCTTAGGCTGTAGGTCCTAATTGATTTTTGAGATGGTCAAGTGATGAAAGAAAAATATATTGGATTTTGATGCATAGAAATGAAAGTTGATGTTTTATTTTGAAGTCTGATCGAGGACAATATGAATATTATTGGATCAAATTTAGTTATAGAGGTATATGATTTTGGATTCATGGATTACATAATTTCTTTTTGTTTAGTTTTCCTAAAGATAAAGGAATTAGTTTAGCTTAGTTGGAGGCATGTTTGACATATGTGACTCATGAAAATATTATCTGATTATATATGCTATTATGATAAGGAATATGCCATGAGTTATTGATGATTATTATGATTAAACTTTCATGCTAAATGTATTTATTTTTTTGTGATGTTAGGTTGTGATGGCACTTGATGTGAGAGATTATCATTTGAGATTTATAAAAAAAAATTAGTGGTTTATTTTGAGATGTTTTAGTAGATAGTATGCCAACTCAGTTGGTTAAATGATTATGGAAAATTCTATGTATGAATTCTAGTTAGAAACATAGAAGTAAAGACTTTATAAATGTGGAAGATTATGAATGCTATTAGTTTTGATTTTTCAAGGAATTACATATATAACTGGCGTAGCATAATATGGGGGTAACAATATGTGGCTATTACTTAAATATTTGCCTATGAACATATATTGAGTATTTCATAGAGTAATGTTACTGATGATTATTATTATGAATTATGACACTATTTCCTTATGACACCAACCAGATGACGATGCATTGGTAGACTTCATAAATGTTGTTTGGTGAATGAGATAGTCTAATCATAACTGGATCGATTTGTAGTGGCCTCTTTGATGATGTATGAATATTTTTCAAGAGTCGGTATGGGCAAAAGAATATCTGAGGATTATTTTTTTTCCATGTTATGATAGAGCTGAAAGTTTATATAAGGTTATTACGTTTTGAATTTTGATTAAAGTTTGTTTCTTGTAGTTTATTAATACAATGTCTCTGGACCTATGTTGAAGGTGTGATTCATTTTAAGTGGTCTAAGAAGTGCAAGATAAAATATCATGAGTTGAAGGTTGGTTTGTGATCTATACAGATGCCTCTAGTGTTTGTTTTATGGGTAATCTTATGCAAAATGGAAATTAGTAGCATATGCATCTCGACAAGTGAAGCGTAAAAACAAAATTATCCAGTATGTGATTTGGAGTTAGCCATTGTCATGATGATTTTGTAGATGTTATCTACATCGGAAGAATGGGGTATCTACATTGTTTATAGAGGTTTTAAATGCTTATTTCTTAAAGGGGCTAAATATCCAAGGAAAATGGCAGGACTTTATGAAACATTATGGCAATAATATTTATTATTCTTATCTTGAGTAATGAACGTGATAGTTGATGTACTGGAAAAAAAATCAAATTCTATCATCCTATTTTGATCACCAAACAAGGGGGGGAAATATTGGATGCTTTCTGATGGATTGATAATTGATATTTGAATTTATGGACCAAGAATAATATTTGCTCATCCTAAAATTTTCATGTCTTTATTGAGAAAATAGTGTATTAAAGAGTAATACTTCTCAATTCTCATCACAATTATTGTTCAGAGTATGGCTTTAAGAAATGAAAACAGGTTATGTATCGTTGGTGACTCAAACTTGGGAAAGAAGTCCCAGAAGAGATTTTGCACATAAGTCAATCATGGAAGTACAAAGTGGTATAGAGCTTTGTGAAAAGCGTTAGTGTAACATAGAAACAGAGATTGCAGAGCATGTTTCTCAGTGTTCGTTGCATGGAAATGTGAAGTCTGAGCATTAAAATCTTGTTCAATCTAGTCTCTTTCATTTTTGCCTGGAGAATGTTACATAGTAGAAGATGGGAGCCACCTATTGGTTTGGTAACAAGCAGGAGAAAGAATATTGTTCAGTTATGAAATTATATATTTCATGTATCATTGTTGAAGTGTATCCTTGAATCCAATGATATCTTAGATTATGATGAGTCTCTTTAGGTAAGAGAAAGTTCTACATATACAAAGTAGTTATTTGGAATTTTAAACTAAGATTAAACGTCATGGTTCTTGTAATGATTTTATAGAAATTTACTATTACTTTTTTTACCATGACACAGAGATAGAAGAATAATATTTTTGAACAGCTAGATACTTGGGGACATTCAAGTTTTGAGGACAAAACTTCTTTTGAGGGGTATAATATATAATATCCCAAATTTGTCAATTGACAATAATTATGCTATAAATTTTTGGGGCCGACCATTATTAGTTAATATGCTCATGAAATTATTGGATGAGATTTGAGTATATGCTGATGATAACATTTGTACATAGTACCATCATAGTCGGATTAAGGAGATTAAAGAAAATGATTACATGATCTATGGACGACTCAGGTATGTCCAAGTTTTGAGGACAAAACTTCTGTTAAGAGGGGTAGTATGTAATAATTCTAAGTTTTAAGATGGATATATAAGGAAAAGTATATGTACTTTTATGTAAAATTAGTTAGAGGGTTATAATAGCAAAAAGGGACCTTGATAAATACCCAAACCCTACTTCTTTACCCGTCAGTTTTCTCTTCTTCCTCCCATCTCTGTTTTCCGCCGCACAAAACAAAAAAAAAATTCTCGTTGAAGTCCAGCGAAGTGGGGATACGGATTATTCTGAAGGTATAGTTTTCTTCATTAGATATGCGAGCTTTTGGCCATGGTAGACAATCAAGCTTGTTGTTGCTCATATTTTATATTTGTTGTGAGCTTTTGGCCATGGCAGACAACCAAGCTGCTTGTTGCCCATATTTTAATATTGTTGAACTCTTGGCCATGGCAGACAACAAAGTTTGTTGCTGCTCTTACTTTATTAAATTATTTACTTTCATCTTCACGTAAGATATTTTGATTCTTAGCATATGATTATATTAGTTCTATGGTTAAAAAAATTGTTATGTATACAATGCTTAACTGTGGTTATAGGGTACAGTAGGGTATGTAGGTTGATTTTAGTATAGTTAACTATATAGTGTATGATAATATCCTAAGATTATTTTAATAGGTATTCGGGTCTTAATTTATATGGTAGTCTTGATGGTTATTTGTATATATTATGTAGGAATCCCAAGGGACTTCGAGGAGGCGTCGTGATTGGTATTTCGATAGTCTTTCGGATTTGAGTAAGTGGTGGATTTATGCATTGTGCGCTGTGTATTTTTTTATATAATTATATCAAGTATACTTGGATTTGTTCCTGACGGATTATATCCTTCGTATGATTACTGGTATATCAATTGTTGATTGGTTGATTTTGTGATGCTCATGGATATTTTGGTATAAGCCTATGCTTATTTTCTTTATCAATTGTTATGTCTATTCATATAGTGGTAGGTTGAGATGCATATGTGTTTGATTTATTTCACTATTGGTTGGCCTTTGGCATATTTGTATAATGTGATTAGCTTTACGAACTTTGTTTATTGTTAAAGCATATGCATCTCAAGTCAATATACCGGTATATGTCGGATATAAGCAAGCTATTAAAACAGGACTCAATGTGCCTCTATGAGGTTTTATTTTAGCGCTAAGAGCCCAAATTGGGTCTCACCGTCCCGGAACCACGGGCTTAATAATTGTGGGGTTTACCGAGTCAACCGGAGTATGAAGTGTTGACCGCATTGAGACGTAGCATGCTTATTTCTATTCCATGATTTCTAATTTTCTTAAATATTTGTATCAAATACTAGAGTTCATTAATGATTCTATATCATTCTTATATTTTGTTTATTTCTCGTTGTAATATTTTAGTTTTGTAAAACCATTGTTGAATGTATGAATTTATCCACTTATTGAGTTGTGAACTCACTGTGTTATTTCTATTCTTTTCAGAGACTCGGGATTAGGTGGAATTGAGGATTTGCCAAATTCTTAGAACGAAGCAAAGAATATAATTCAGGATTGTTATTATCTTCTAGGTGAAGGTTAAATAAAGTCTTGATGTAGTTGATAAATTGAGAGTGGTGGTTGCGAGATTTCTTTTCTTTAGGTTGAGTTTTATTTCAAGTTGAGGAATATTTGTTCATATCAAGTTAATTGGATTAATGTTGACTTTTGGGATTATAGAGAATATTTTTTGTTGGTTTTAGTTCAATGAAGAGATTATTTTGATGGTCTTTTAATGAATGCATATTTTGGAGGATTTTTCACAGGTTTAGTCCGACTCTAATATTCCTTTTAGGTTTGAAAATTGGGGTCGTGACATTTGAGCACTTATATTTTTATGACTGAGGGAAGTATTGAGCTGCATCTACACGTCATTCTACTTGAACATGATCAAGTGGTGTGTATGCGTGTGTATCTTTGACATTCTTTACCTATAGCCTCCTGGATATAACCACGTCTAGAAGGGTGCTAACACCAAAAATACGGAAGAAGAAAGAATAACACGAAGCTATGAGAATCTTACAGGAGGTCCACCATCACAGAACTCAATTATCCCACGAGCTATCAAGTTACCCTGAACATGAAAGCTCACATTAACACCTTCCATCTGGATTGAACTCAGAACAACTAGACATTAATGAATAACAGTCCAAAACAATAGTAAAAATGCTTTGCTTTCACATCCCAACTACTTCAAGGAGGCAAATTTCATAAGGTAAGTAAACAAGGTAAAACCAGTGATTGCATTTCGCCATTACCTGAGAAAGTCCAACAATGTTGTAGCCTCCACTTAGTTCTTTCATTTTCTTTACCTGTTGAAAGTGAAGACCGTGAAGGCTGAAGTCAAAGGGAACTCAAAAGAATGACCAAAAGTTATACAAACAGGTTTGCCACCTTTTCACAGGCTATATCAGTCTGCAAACCCAGAAGAAAAAAGAATTAGAAACTATGATTTAGCCAAAAAAATACAGGGATGAGCTTTGACACACTTTTCACAAGGAAGTTAACCTGTTCTTGCAAGGGCATAAACCAAGAGTCCATTGTTCCATCACCAATTTCTCTATATCAAAGGAATGCAGGACCATGTCAGTATATAAAATAGTCTAATCGTTTGATGGGAAAAAGGTCCACCCTTATAAATCAAAAAGAACAATTTAAAATGAAAAAAAAATAGTATTCTGTGATAAGAAAAGTTCTCTCCCCCATGATTAATGATAGAACTAGCTGAAATGAGTATAATCACGAGGATTGACTAGAAAATTATATCCTACTTAACAAGTCAGTACGAGTTCTCAATTTACATGGCTTGCCACAATGTAGATGTGGACTTCATATATCATATGGACTTTAAGATATTTATTTATCATTGTTACGCTTCCAAATCTCATATTAGCTTTAAGAAAGAGAAATTTGCAAGGAAGCTAACCATTCCAAGAACCGCTGAAAGATTGAAGCTGCAGTGCAGGTAAAAGTACAAAAATCTTCTCTTCAAACACATGGCTAAACTATCAAACCCAATGGATGTTCAACTCTTCTATAGAAAAACACCATGCTTTATTACAAAAATTACCATGAACATCACCAAATTTGCTCTCAAATACTTTTGACTCCCCATCTTCAAATTGAACAGTGAGAATAGCTGAAGGAGTTAGGGCAAATTGCACATAATACCCCTCATCTATACCTCGGGTTGCATATAAAACCCAAAAAAAAACAATTAAGCTAAGCTACCAGAGAGAAATCAACCCAGCATACCCCCTAATCAGCTACCTGGTGTATACAATTTACTGATGATATCATCAAGCCAATTCTTTTAGGAGTACTCATAAAACCTTTGCATCACCATAACACTTCACTTTCCTAATTTTAATGAAAAAAGTTGCAGAATTCAGGTTAGAGAGAGAGCATACAAACACTGCCCCTCAACTCCAGCGTACTTGCTGAGAAGCTCCGTAAACTGCGTCATCCCCCGATTCTTGCACTGATCCCCAATTCCTAGACCCAAACAATCAATCAAAAACCCTAACCTCTCCCCAAAAATCCAAAAAAAAACAAAAAAAAACAAAAAAAAACAAAAGAAATCAAGAGAACTCACCATGCAAAACAATGAAGGGAATCGAGGACGAAATCGGCGCGGAGACGAACACGACTACAACAGCGACGGCGAGCTTCAGCGTCGGCGTCGCCATTTTCACGGGAATCTAGGGTTCCCTACTTTTGCTGGGAGAATTTTGTCGCGGTCGCGTTTTCCAAGAGAAAAAAAAAGGAACGGAATTGGTTAAGAGAGAGAGGGAGGGAGGCTGTGTGACGTACGCAACTTCTAGCCCTTATCATGGGAATGAATATTCTAGCTAGCGGAGGAATTTGGGAGGTTAATCTCACCGGCGCGGTGACGGGACGCTGATTAGAAGTTGATGGGGGTTGCCAATTACGTGGTTGTTGAAGAGTGGAAGAAGCCTACAGGTCTCTTTCTTTGCTGACGTCATGTGATGTGAACGGATTATGGTTTTAATTATTTTGGGAAAGAAATCACCAAATAGTCGTGTTGTGGATAACGTATTGCCCTATATAGCTTTCTTCTCCAAATATACATATAATTAAGGGGAAAATAGGAGGTAGTTAACAACCAAATGCAATTCAAATTGGTGTACAAATGCATGGACAAATAAATCTTCAGAAGGAAAATGAGTCCACGGACAGCCAAAAGCTGATCTCACAGAAATTCATGACGATGAAAACTGCGGAATTGAACCATGATAGGCTTTATTTAGACACATTAGTACAGGTATCGGGTTGTCGGTGGAAGTAGCAAAGCAAGATACATGGAATGATACAGAATTATACAATCGGGTATTATGACACAAGATTTAACACGCAGAAAACACAAGAGTTTAACCCACGAGGGCCTAGCAGAGTTGGTACGGTGCTTATGAGTAGTACTCCAATGTTTCAAGTTGGACTGTCTTAGGAAGCACCACAGGAGTTTAATTTCCTGGAATACCCAAGTCCGTGCGTTGGAGGGTGCTCCTATAGCCACGCCCGGAGGTATGATACCTATGGTCTGAAGGACCATTCGGAAGTTCAGTCATCAAACCAAAAAAGGAAAAAAAACAAAGAGCTTAAAAGTACGAAAGGTCACAAGGAATCGCTAGCAAGCCTCGGTGATCGAGCTCTTGAATGCGTTTGGTCGCCCTCAGGGGGAGTCATTAACAAGTGATGATCTAGCTGTTCATCATCACTCTCATCCATAGCCGATGAGGCAAATGAATCTGACCCATCTGTCACAGAAAAAGAAAAAAGATCAGCTTCTGAGGATGACTTTGCTCAGAATGGTTTTACAAGATTTTTCTTTGAAATCAATCTTTTTTCGGTTCACTGTGCATAGAGCCCCTCTACTTCTATTTTTGAAAATAGTTCCAAAAAAAAAAAAAGATTGGCAATTCTGATAGTTTTCCCATTTATATTAGTTATATGTAATGATCATTATGCAAGTTTATAGATCAGTATATGAAGCTCAATTTTAATGTGCAACTAGTGGAATTAAGTTTTTTTTTAATCCTTTTTTTTTGGCCGAATTCAGGGGTCTATCTGCAGTTAACCCTTTTTTTCTTTGGTTCAGAAAATTCAATTTGTAAGTGAGCTTTTTTCTTTTTTCACTTTAGGTAGTAAAAAGGATATAAATATAAAGATACATAATGTAGGAACAAAAAATATATAGTTGCATTGTAAAATGATAGTATCAAGTTTCTATTTTCATAATCACATTTCACACTTTATTCTTATATAAACTTCTGAAATAAACACCAAACATAATTGCTGAACTTACCAAAGTAAGGACGGTCTGGCAAATGCCTGACTGTTGTAAGCTGAATACTTTCCGGTAGCAGACAATTGCAAAAAGAACCTGAAACTTCCAAAATTACAAAACAAAATTAGTTTACTCTATCATGTCGACTTCACAAAAATATGCTTTAGAAAAGATGCTCACCTAATCTAGCAAGTCGGTTCACCCATCCTGGAATAGGTTTTCCAGTTAGACACATACATACATCATCACTGAAATGATTGCAGTTCTTGGCAATGAGATGATATGTGTCCCCGTGATATTTTCTCGAGAGGTGTTCCAGGAATAAACGGAATTCAGTGCGAGTCATGTCAGTTGTGCCTAGACATACAGAACGTCTGTAGATAAAACCAGGGCAGCTTTTTGGTTCCACTTCGAAAACCCCACTTGATGAGTAATCGTGGGCTCCAAAGCCATACTCCATTCCATGAACTGTATGATAAGTTGCAACATCTTAGTATATGGCATGTATCAATCAATATAAAAATTGCGCAATCATACAAGGGCAATGGAAAAGAAGCATATTAATTGAACTAAAGGCAATCTTGGTTAACAGAAAATGTGTAAGAAAGAGAACAAAAAAGAAAAAGGAAGCCTTAAGCATCCAAAGATGTTTAGTAGTAGCCAAGTAAGAAAATTACAAGTTTTGTTTTCCTCGCTTCTCACTAACTAAAACAGTTCCATGATCCACTTCGCTTTTGAAAGAAATCTCAACATAGTTGTTGATTCTCAGTCTCTGTTAGGTATGTGCAGGTGATACCCCTAGAAAAGAAACTTGCAAGCATACAAGAGATGAAATAAAGAAGAAAAATACATCAAATAAAAGTGGTCTCATCAAACGCAGCTTACACCAGGTGAAGTGGCAAGAGTGCCAGCATATTATGAAGATTATGATACAAAGGGGGGTCACCACAGCATGAAGATTAAAAATAAAAGAGAGAACAATTTAATGTTCTCTAGGTTCAAATACAAGGAATTATGATGGAAAATGATTACCGTTTCTTAGTTTAGTTGAAGAAAATTCTAACTTCCATTACGAAGTGTTTACACTAATGCCATGCAAAGGGACCACAGAGCGCAATCATGCTTGTTAGGGAGTCCTCACGTCTATCGTGGAGTATGATTTCCAGAGCATGCCAGGAAATTGCAGAAACCCCAGAGATCTTATGGCATGGATAGGGGCAATTTTGAAGAGTCATATAAGCTGATAAAAGCTTAATTATTTTCCCTTTAAAAGATATTCACTCTCCTGAAGAACCACATCTCACACATGGAAAGATCCCTTCAGGCTTCAAGGCAAATAGGACTTTCCACTCTTCCTCTTCACATTGGTGCCCCAGGCAAAAATAGCAGTATCCATTCAAAAAATCTAAAAGTAGCCATCAACAACACACAAACATAGAAGCAACACCGGTAATAGAAAGTTGTAGACTGAATTTAGCAAAAGTAGACAACTGCAATTAGCTAGTAACTTGAGGAGATGACACAAGGTTTTCAGCTTGTAGGTCTTGCTATTAGCCTACCAGTGTTGAATTATTCCATCTAGATTAAATTGCCTCGTTTTGCTATCTATTACATAGAATGGATATTCCTCCATCAATACACAATACACCCCAAGAGTACCATGGTGCTCGTTGTCATCTATAAACCAGAGAACCCCCCCCCACCACCACCACCACCACTACCACTCTTAATCTACATTGCCATATAAAATGTACACAGTATTACCTCATAGAAAAGGTAGAAAGCAAGACAATTAATAGAAATAAGAAAATGCGATTAGATATCTTGATGAGAAATGAAGAGCATATATTATCCCAACGTTAGTTGACAGTCAATTATCTGTATGGAACTGGCCAGTAAACAATCATAAAATGTTTACAAACAATTATGTTCAACTCTGAGAGAGCACATCATCACTAATTACTGTCAAAGGACCCCGCAACAGTGCCACTACATAAAACTCTGAAGTTGTTGTCAGGGTTGAGGGTTGTAATGTTTGTAATGTACCCGCAAGTTGAGGTGCTTTCATAGGTCAAAATCTGGACTCCCATAGAAGTATCTTTTTATAATCCGCTTTAGAAATTCATGGTCAGCAAGATTGGAAACGGTGTTGCTTTGATGCCATCTGAAATCTACACCAAAACTCCAAAGCTAGAGTATGAATCGAGGGTTATAATTCTATAATGTAATAATTACAATTCATATTAAACTCAATCTAGTTTTGAGGAGAATAACCTAAAACTTGACTGACTGCTTTAAGTGGGAAAACAGACCAAACTACCAAAGACATCACAGTTCAAACAGAAGAATTAAAAGAAGTCCCTACTTTGCCTTTAGGAAATTACAAGCTTTACTTACTCAAACATTAACCTGCAACTTGTCAATTAGCTCAAATTTTTTTTTAATATGACACAACCATTCTTATCCTTGACTAAGTGAGACTAAGACCATTTCTTTTATTAAGAGAAAAGCAATTGAGTCAAGCCAGACACATTTTGGGCATTAATGCCATCATATCAGTAATTGAGGCAAAATTCTTCCAGTTCCTTCCCAGTGTTTGTATAATACGTCAGGTCATGACTATCAAACTCTTCAAGTTCAATTGCATAACTATATTTAATTTTGAACACTGCAAATAAAGATGGTCCAGGGGCTCCATACAAAATAACTGATTGGCTTTGGTTCATAGCATAGATGAATATGTTGGGGATTACTGGAGCACGCAAAAAACACCACACACAAGAAGACAGAGCAAGCAACAAAACAACACAAAGAGGCTTTTACGTGGTTCGGCCAAACATGCCTATATCCAGTCCCTAAGCAGGAAAATCCACTATTCTCACAAACCAACACAACTGGCACAAGCAATACAAGCAATACAAGTTTTTCACGAACAAACCTGTAAACCCTCACACATCTAACATCTCTCGGGTTCCTGGCACAAGCAATACAAGCGATACAAGTTTTTCACGGACAAACTTGTAAACCCTCACGCATCTCACATCTCTCAAGGAACCCGAGAACATTGAGTACTCAAGAGCTCCAAGAGGCCATCACACATCACATCACTCAAAAAACCCTAGAACACCGATCATAAGAGTTCTATGAGGATCCTCCCTCTTACCAGAAGGATGACTTTATCAACACTAAAACACACTCTTTTATAGGCTCCAAAGAGAAGTTCAAGAAGCATACTCCAACGGCTTCCTCAAAAATTTCTCCAAAATGGAGAAGCAAAAGTCATATTCTCCAAATTATTTTTGCTCCAACTCCAATAGCTTCCCCAATTTGAAGAATCATGCATTTATTACAATAATAATAATATTCTACATCTTTGACATGAACTTTAACAATAAAGATTTAGACATGAACTTTTTGTTTTTTGCCCCCTCATTTTATAGTGTTGAGTCATTTTTTGAGTAGTTGGAGACTTGAAGAACGTGAAACATTTATGACAAAGCTCTCCCCAAAAATTTAAAGAATGCTACAGATTCGGGGAAGGCTCCCCTCTTTTTTTTCTCCTTCATCCCTATTTTGGAGAATGAGATGGGGAATCTGTTGGACCAAAAAAAAAGCCTAAAATTCTCCAAAAATGAGAATACCAATAAAATGGGGAAGCTGTTGGAGATGTTCTTCCACCCTCTGCATTTTCCAATATTGACTAGCCTTTCAATCTTCCGTCAACGACAATGCACCCCTCATTATGAGATTTGGGGAGAATCCCAACAGAACAACCCCACAAATACAACTATCAAGTTGTCAATCTACATGTGAGGAGATCAATCTGGCTTTGGATGATACATACCAATAGTAGACGGGAAAAGCAATTGAATTTAACACAATCATAGGAAAGATTGCAAGACCAACCATATTCACACTTCCAACATAATGTAGAGGAATTACTTCTCGGAGCTATGAACATATCTTTCTTTCCCAAGTTAAAACTATATTAGCACTAAACAAGGAGATTTTTTTTCTGCAATTCCTCAAAAAACCAGTCTCCAATCACAAATTAGAACTACAGACCTGAACAAAAGCAAGAATCAAGACAATAAGCTCTATTGACTTCAATTTTACCTTCGATCCCCGAGTGAAAGATTCCGAGGCCAAACCAATAGAGATAGTTGTTCATGGGCGTCAGATCGTAGACATTCAAGTAAAGATGCGTCTTTTTCTCTCCGCCCCGCCATTCCTGTGCTCTCTCGACGAGGCCGACGAAAATCGCGGCAGGATCGAGCGCATGCTGCTCCGATCGGCACAGTAACAGCCCTAGAGGAGGAGAAAAGTTAGCATTTTTAGGGTTTCGAAACCCTAGGTTTTGAGATTGTTTGATGAAGAGGAGCTCAGCAAAGGGGATGAATTTGAGCTGGATTTATCGGGAGCTCTCTCTCTCTCTCTCTCTGGAGCTTATCGAGGCCACGCTGGGATCACAGGATTCACTCGCGGGAAAAAATAAAAACAAAAGAAATTAGTAAAGAGAGCATTTTAATAGTTGGGTTTCTCTACGAACCCAAAGTTTTAACATGATTTATATTTAGCCCATCCAATTCTAAAATCTCTCTAAGACCCGTAGCACTTGTATACTGAACTTATTTTTAGGGTTATTTCACTTTAGAGGGTTTCTAATATAATTTTCTTAGACTTTGTCTATCTCACGTGACCTGCCCCTCCTCCTCAACTTTGAAATATCTTACACAAAACTCCCAGTAGCTTCAATCTTTTCTTATCGGACCCTCCTTCTGCTTGTAATTCTGCAAATAATGAAAATGTCCTTGAGAGACAACCTCAAAGTTCGACATTTAGCATTTACAAACAACATATCCCGTCTCCTAAATTTTGGATTTTATTATTTCTCTTAAAAAAATTAGTTATTTATAAATTACATGTAGAACGTACATTGAGAGAAGTCCAAATTCCAAAGGGATTTTGTAAGATAGCCCAAGGTTGAAGGACAGACGTGAGATAAATAAAGTTTAGGAGGTTATGTTTATTGTAGTATAAAATATCCTAAATAGGGTTACAACTTTGGGTTTATGAACAAAAATCCTAACCGGAAATAATATAATAATGATAAGGTTGCTTTCGCAGTCGCAATCCGGGGTTCTGGGGGTTGACCCCGATTAGGTTGACTCGACATATGAAAAATATCTCGCTTTCTTGATGTGGTTTTTTGTTTTTCCTACCTTGTTTATTGTAGTATAAAAATATCTAGATACTGTTTCTTTTAAGATAATTTAGACCTGATACGTTGAATTGCACTCCAAAGGTGGAAAAGGATCGATATGTTGCTTAAAACTGTAATTAGTGGAATTGGAAATTTATTTTCAAAAATCAGATAAAATTTGTGATTTTTATGTGAACTATAGTGAGTTGTGCAGTTCAATGGTCTACAACATGTAAAAGAAAAATTCATCAATGACCCAAAATATGGGACCAATAGATGGGACAAGTGAGGTGTCCCCCTCCTATTGGATAATAAGTTGGCTATCATTAATGATAGTCAACTTATTATCTAATAGGAGGGGGACACCTCACTTGTCCCCTCTATAAGCTTTTAATTGTTAAGTCATAATTTAATAGTTGGCTCAAATTTCTATGTACTTAAGAACATATATCAGAAACATTTTATGTGAAATTAATGAGAAAATTAGTTGTGCTTTTAGACCTACTTAGACCACCTTTGGGAGTTGCCTATTAAACATGAAATGTGTACAAAATGCGAGGATAATCAATAACAACATTGGAATTTGCTATAACAAAAAAAATAATAAAAGGAAGGATTATTGAAAATTAGAACAGTCATCCTCCTGATACTCACATAACCTTGATCCAAACTGATACCCAGAATTGCTATGATCCAAACTGATACTCACGTAACCTCGAGTTCTACGCTAGCTCACAATTTCTATAACCCCGAACAAATCATTATCATTCCTTTAATAATGGAAAACTTAATTAGGAATAAAACAATCCCATTCTTAATAGGAAGATTAGAAGCTCCGAGCTTGCTTGCCTCTGATCAAAGCTCATTTCGCGCTCATTGACAGTGAATGGATACTCTTTTTACTCCGAAATCGCAAGCCCACAAGAAAGCCTGGATGTAGACGTGTACTCCCTCAAACAAGGAAACGATCGATGATGTGTTGTATAACATCAGCACCTTCTGAGTGCATTGTGGTATCTTTCACCTGCCAAGATTCAGCAATATCGGATAATATTTATGATGAAGAAAGATCTGTGCATAAATTGAGTTCTGCCTACAGCTTTCCCTTTGGATGCATAATAGAAGGAATAGACCGTCGCTATCGAGTTGTAAGCAGGAGTAAGTAGGGCACTTAGGATTACATCAGGAGTTAAGAGGGAGAATTACTCCTCCAAATTTCAGGAATTGTCACGTCCTGACTTTGCTATTAGAAAGGTTTTTTTTTTCACGAAATGGTGAAGGATAATATATACCTATTCAAGTCTTAGAGGTAAGAACAAGAGGGCGTTTTGTGAGTGGGGAGTGGGGACCACGAGCCCACGTGTGCTGAGAATTTGTTTCCGCGGTTTCGTTTCCGCGTGATGAAGGCCGGCCCACCCGTTTTTTTTACGTATATATTTTATTTGTGAGATTCTTGTGTAAACCCTATTTGTATTCTCTCTTTCTCTATTAGTAGATCTCCCCCTCCTTGCCCCTGTGGACGTAGGCAATTTGCCGAACCACGTAAAATTAGTTGTACTGCTATTTGTGTGATTTGTAATAGCTTAATAGCTTTTAGGTTCCCTCGACGCGCAGTCCTAGAGCTGACGAGAGGAAGAGCTAATATCTCACTTTGATGAGATATTAGGCTTCAGATTCTTGTTCCCTTTGAGAAACAAGAATTCTTATTGCGTCCTGACTCTCTTGTTGTGCTGCCGAAGTACTGCCGAGATTTCCGCTGCGCGCAACACGTTTAGGGGGTGGAGAGCCTCTAATGCCTCAAATTGACCAAGAGATAAGAGACGAAGGAACAAGATTCAAAAATTGCCAACTGCATTCTTTCTCTAATATTGACTATGTGACAATAGTTAAACAAGGATGTGACCCCTAAATAGGATTTAATGGGAGAATAGGATTCACCTAGGCAACCCGAAAATTTTGGTATAAAACTTCGTTGGTGGTGGTCGTGGTGTTGTATTCTTTCTCCAACCTTGTTGAGCAGCTCTATTGATAAACATGAACAAAAGAAGCAAACTAGAAATGTATAGGGCAGTCTCAGGTACCTGAATGACATTATGGGCATCAAATCTCTGTCTGCTGTTGTGAAAGCTAACATCCACCCTTTCCCAAGACAGAGTTGTGAGTCTAGTCAATAGCTTTTCTGCAGGATGCAAACGCAAGGAGATGAATTAAATATCAAATTCCGCTTTTTGTAAATCTTGCGAACAAACAAAAAATCGAATGTACTGTAAGGATGTAGAAATTGTAAGCTGTTTGGATTGGATGAAGATTGGTTATATATAGGAAATAAAAAATATTGACGCAATAATGTGTCATCCTCAGAATAATAGATCCAGCAAGTGCTTTTGTAATGGCTTATAAGATCTATTTTGATAGAAATCTCTTCACTTCCCCCATGTCATCTTTGTACTTTAAATCAATATATTGTCAACAATAACTAATTTAGTAGAGAGTATATTGCACATAATCCCCCTCATCTATACCTTGAGCTGCACTAAACCACCTTCAACGAATTTATTAGCACTTAAGCCCTCCAATTCATGAGAAAGAGGGATGTTACTAGCAATTTATCTTCCTATAAATGGCATACTACTAAGTGCTAGTAAGTGATTTTTTTTTTTTGTTGGGTGAGTGTGTGTGACGTGCAACTCCAGGTATAGATTTTGTGTGTGTGTGTGCTTTTTTTGGTTGGGGGGTGGGGGGTGGGGTGGGGGTGG